ATCCTTCTATTTTTATTCATGATAATTTTTTGGGACTTAGGGTTTGGTTTAGTCATCCATGTTGCCATTTTCGTAAGCCTTAAATCTCCTCCTTTGAAATCCCAAGAACTAAGTATCATCGTATTTGATGAGAATCCCATTAAGACTTTAGATTATGCTATTTGGGTTGCTAAATCCTTCAAAAGGTGCCAAGTTGAAGCCTATCCTTACTTAGATTTCATCATGATATTGCACATACTCACCTCAATTTACTATAGTTTGAGGAAGTTTGACAAGGTTGTGCCAATTCTAAAGCTATCAATTCATGTATCTAACATCACTCAAAACTGATATTTAGTTAAAATGATTATGAATGAAAAGAAGAAAACGCAATTGGAAAAGTATAGTCAAATTTGAAACTCTAAGTACCAAATTCCCAATTTAAAAAATATAAAAAGAAGGGTATTTTTGTCATTAAATAAAGATATTAGAATAATGCATTTTTATTAAATGTTATAAAAGTTTAGGTTAATTTATTTCAATTAAAAAGTATGTGAGTTAAAATTTTTTCAAAAGAATAAAAAGGTGGATTTCAAATAACTAAAAAAAAAGGTAAATGAATTTACTTATTTTATAACATAACAGACTTGAAATGGATTTCATAAAAATATAATGTGATATGATATAATATCATCTGTTAATTTTAAGTTGATTTATTTTAATTGAAAAACATATAAGTAAATTAATTTTAATATTAAAATCTAAAAATAAAAAAGATAAAAAATAAATTTCAAATAACTTAAAAAATATATAAACTAATATCCCTTTTTCACCGTAGTTGATTAATATGAAGGTAGAATTGAGTGGCTGCCGACTTCATGGGTGGGTTTCGATAATAATAAATAATGTTTGAATTTTTTGGAAGAGAATTCAAAAGACACAACAAGTTGGCATTGCCTTCCAATAGCATGAGATGCTACGGTGTGATCTTAACTTATCATTTCCTACTACTAAGCCAAAGCCTAAGAGGCTACTTGTTTTGAATTTCAAAGTCTTTTTTTTTTCTCCCTAGTAGAACAGGTACCTATACATTATGGGCAAAACAATTATTTATGAAGTTGCATATTTGCATTATTAGGGACTTTGGAGTGTTAGGTGTGCTTTCTGCCTTTCTGGTATGGAATCATTGGATTCCAACCGTACAATTATCAACAAAATAAAAGGGATTGGCCTGTTGAGTTGAGTTCTAAACCACTGACAACAAAATTAACTAGTACTAAGATATATCTGATTATTTGGCCATGCTTTGCGCGTCTGTCAGAGCTATTGGGTCCAACCAACCACCGTACAAATAATTGAATACTTCTCTAGGATATTTGCAGAGAGAGATTGTGGGATTTGAAAACAGATTTTGAGGGGAAAAAAGAAGAAGTGTGCTTGTACTTTATGTATCATTCATACTACTAGGGACGGGATGAGTTTGGTGTGCTTTCTCTATCAAACATTTATTATTAGAGAGCCATTGAATCTCTTCCCAATTCATCAAAATCCAATTCAAAAGATTGGATTGGTAGTAGGTCAATTGCCTTTTTGAACCGCATTAATCTTTGTAAATTTATTGATGAATGCACTTAATATATATATATTTTTTGACAAATGTATAATGGGTCAGAATTAAACCGTTATCTTAAAATATATATATATATATACTTATATGAAACATGATGTTATTATACGTCCAATAACAAGTGCATTTAATATTTTAATTAATATTAATGTTTGAATTATAATAACATCGTGTAAACATTTCTCTTCTTTTTATTGTAAATTGTAACCATTCAAAAAAAATAAAAAATATTGCCTTCTGTACCTTACTCTGCTCTCTTTGTTTAGGTGCTCAGCCTCGGCCAGCATAAATGAAGAAGTTGACAGTGAGATCTCACGAACCTTATCTTATGGCTCCTGTTGCTTTCATCAACCAAAAAAACACTAAAAAGGTTTGGCATTTGCTTCCACAATCTTTGCTGAAATGGATTCCTCAGCTGTCTTTACTTCGTGCGTGTGTGCAGTTTTGACGTTTTTATTTTAATTTTTAAAAACTTAGACATTTTAGAATAAATTTATTAAATTGTTCTATAAATTAATTAAGTTTGAAGTTTTAAATATTTATTTTGAAATTTTATACTCCATGATTTGGTAATTTTAATTTTTAATTTTAGTTCTTAATTATTAATTTTAATTATTTGAATTTTAAAAAGACATATTAAAAACAAAAATAAAAAACCACAAATGTATTAAACAGGGTCTAAATATCTTTAAAAAAATGAGTATTAACTTATATTGTAAAAAATTAAGTAAAAAAATATTTTAAAATTACATCATTTAAATAAATTCTCATTATAAAAACTAAAATATCATAACTTTTGCAATGGGAATAAAATTGTTTGTTTTTTTTAATAATACTTTATTAAAACAACTTAATATTGAGTTTTTTTTGCATGACTTTTTATAAATATAAATATTAATCTCATATCTTAGGGTAATATATGCAGCCCAAGATGTAAACCCTTATATTCATATAAGAAATTAGTATATATCAATCTCGACTTTTGAAAATAATTAAAATTTTAATTTATATTTTAAAATTAAAATCTCATCTTATTAAGTATTAATATTTAAATTTAAAAATTTATTATATGTAGTGTTGTCAAAATCGCGATTTAAATCGTAAAATCGTGAGATTTTATGATTTCAAGTAAGCATTTTTGGTTAAATCATAGTCAAAATCGAAATTTTGTGAATTCGGGGGGTAAAATCATAAAATCACGATTTTACGGTAGAATCGGATAAAATCTCGATTTTACTCCAGTTGAAGAAGCTGGACCATTTTTTCTTGGGTTAATGGGCTTTGACCCAACAACCCTTAAATTAAACCCATTTCTTATTTTAAAAGCCCACAACCACAACCCTCAACCGAACCCAACAACAATTGCACTCTCCAGTCCAGCCAACACACGCTTTTTTATTGGGCCACCTAAGCTTACTTAGCCATGAATTGATGACCTCTCTGAAACCAACATAACGTGGCCCAATGAAAATGGAAGTGTTGGCTGGAGAGTGGTGTTCCAAGCATTGCTCTTGTTTTTTTTCATATATATATATATATAT